ATTAATTGATAAGATCATGTGGTTCTTGTCTTTTGTTTTTTTAACATGATGTGATGGATTACATTGATTGCTTTTCTACTGTTGAACCATCCCTGCATACCTGGTATAAATCCCAGTTGATCATGGTGAATTATTTTTTTGATATGTTGCTGAATTCTATTGGCTAGAATTTTGTTGAGGATTTTTTTGTCAATGCTCATGAGGGATATTGGTCTGTAACTTTCCTTTTTTGTGGTGTCTTTATTTGGTTTTGGTATCGGGGTTATGCTGGCTTCATAGAATGAGTTTGGGAGTATTCCATCCTTTTCTAATTCTCTGAAATACCTTTAGTAGTAGTGGTGTTAACTTTTCTCTGAAAGTCTGGTAGAATTCTCCAGTGAAGCCATCCGGGCCTGGGTTTTTTTTTTGTTGGGAGTTTTTTTCTTTTTCTTTTTTTCATTCTAACTTTTTATTTATGTATTTGGTAAACCATGTAGTTTCAAGATAACTTTTCATAAAAGTTTATTAAAATTTTATCAAAATTAAATGATTAGATAATGCTATTGGGTTTATTTAATAACTGATCCATGCATATCTAAATTGATCCAGCTCACAACAAATCTGAAACTTAAGATAACTTTATTATTAAAATTTTAATATGCAGGGAATTCTGATTTCAAAAGACTAAGCAAAAAGACTATAAGCTACATTTTAATGAGAAGTTAGTTAAGTCAGTTTCTTAGACTGCATAGGCAGTCAAACATTCCGTAACTATAGATGGCTTGGTTTGCTTTTCTTCCTGATTTTTTTTTTTTTAACATTTTATTGTTGAGTTGCTTTAAGTGGAAGTTTACATAGCAAATTCTTTTTCCAGTCAATGATTCTTAAACAGATTATTTCATGACATTGGTTGCAGTCCCCAAAATGTGTCGGCGCTCTCCCCATTTTCTCCCTGGGTGCCCCGTTTCCATTAAGTCCAGTTTCACTGCCCCTCCCTGTCTTCTCATCTTTGGTTTTGGGCAAATGTTGCCCTTTTGATCTTGTATAGCTGATTGTTCTAAGATTCCCATTCTTCACAGATGTTATTATTTTAAAGCCTTGTCTATTATTTGGCTGAAAAGTGGCCTCTGGAAGTGTCTGTAGTTTCAAGTTAGAAGGTTGTCTTAGGGCAAAAGTCTCAGGGGGTCCTCTAGTCTCTTTCAGACCAGTAAGTCCAGTCTTTTTTTAATTTGAATTTTGTTCTGCATTTTTTACCCATTCTAACTGGGACCCTCTATTGTGATCCCAGTCAGAGTGGCTGGTAGTGGTAGCCAAGCACCATCAAGTTCTTCTGGTCTCAGGTTAGAGAAGGCTGTGGTTCATGTGGGCCATTAGTCCTTTGGAGTAATTGCTTCCTTGAGTCTTTGGTTTTCTTCGTTCTCCTTTGCTCCAGACAGGACGAAACAAATAGTTGCTTCTTAGATGGCCGCTCACCAGCTTTTAAGACCCCTGAAACTTAAGGTAATTTTGAAACTCACTTTAACTGGACAAATTTTAAGTACAGGGCCTTTTAGTGTAAGTAAGGAAAAAATATGCATAAGACAAAGTCAAGATTCACTGAGCACTTAACTAGATGCCATGCACTCTTCTGAATATTTTAAATGTATTATTTAATCCTCACAACCTTATAGAGGTAAATAGTAGTATTATCTGGATTTTATTAAAGAGGAAACAGACAAAGAGAGGGTAAGAATCTGGCCAAAGTCACAACGCTGAAGAGTAGTGGAATAGGAATTTGAGACAATGCCAATATGCCTTCAGAATCCAGGCTCTTATCTACCACACTTGTCCCTTTCAAAGAAAAGCCAGTAGGTTATTTAAACCTGAAAACCCTGAAAGTAACAAGCAAATTTTTATTGAGAGGAGAGGACATTTTTATAATTCCACTTTGTTAATATAAATGCTAAGAAAAATTAAAGGATACAAAAATTTTGACTTAGGAAAATTCTTTGTATTTTCCTACCAATCATTTATCAGATTGTGTTTTCAGAACTTTTATAAAAGCATCTTCTGGAACTTCAGCGTTGCCAACTTTTCTCAGTTTTTTCTTTCCTTCTGCTTGTCTCCTCAAAAGTTTCATTTTTTGGGTAATATCACCACCATAACATTTTGCCAAAACATTTTTTCTATAGGCTTTCACAGTTTCTCTTGCAATGATTTTACTTCCAATAGCAGCTTGAATTGTTGTTTCAAACAGCTGTCTGGGAAGAGAATCCTTTAGACGTTCACTTATGACTTTGCCAACAGAATGCGCTTTGTCTTTGTGTACAGCAGTTACTAGCTCTTCTACAATATTTCCGTTCAATAGAATATCCATTTTTACAAGTTCTGCAGTCTGGTAACCTGCATCTTCATAATCAAAACTAGCATATCCAGAAGACAGGGATTTCAGATAATCATAGAAATCTACCACAATTTCATTCAAAGGGAAGAGATATTTAAGCATAACTCTATTTTGATCAATATACATCATATTCTTCTGAACTCCTCTTCGAGCCTGGCAAAGCATCATAATTTTTCCAGTGTATTCATCTGGTGTGATAATAGTGCCCAAAACAACTGGCTCCAAATATTGTTACTTTTGATTTATCAGGGAATTGTGCAGGATTGATGATTGTAATTTCTTTTTCTCTATATTCCTTTATCAGTTTTGCTGATGAAAGAACAGCTTTATATGGAACAGTGGGGGTTGTCAAAATAACAGAAGCATTATATTCTTGGCTCTAGTCGCTGGTTGAAAACTTCCATATGCAAGAGTCCAGGAAATCCCAACCTCCAGCCAGCGCCTAGGGCAAGGCTACTATCCTGATAAACTGTTACACTGGAGTCATTTAAAGTCAGTTTTTCTGTAGCACTCTTCAGGTTATTATATTCAGACTGGTCTATAGGGTACCTTCCTGCAAATACCATTGGTTTCGCTGATTTAAACCCAGGCAAGGGCTCCACTGGTTGCCTATGTAAATATAATGTATCTCCTATTTGAGATTCAGTGACATCTTTCATCCCAGCAATCAGATAGCCCACCTGTCTGCATATAATTTATGAGTTGGCTGCTCATTAGGATTCAGAACTCCTACTTCGTTAACTTCATAGATCTTTTGAGTATGTGCAGACACAATTTTATCTCCTTTGGATACCACTCCATCAAACAGTGCTATATTGACTATCACACCCCTGTACTGGTCAAAGGTGGAGTCAAATACCAAAGCTCTCAGGGGATTTTTGAAATGTGCTTTAGGAGGGGGTATTCTTTCAATAACTGCCTGAAGAACACTTTCAGCATTTGTTCCAAGTTTAGCAGAAATCTTAATACATTCATCACTTGGAATATCAAACACCTTTTCAATTTGTTTTTCGACCTTTTCAGGATCAGCATTCTTCAAATCTTGTTTATAACTGGAATTACTGATAGCTGTGCTTCAAAGGCAAGAAAGAAGTTTGCTACAGTTTGGGCTTGAATACCCTCATTTGCATCAACCACAAGTAAAACACCCTGGCAAGCAGAGAGTGACCTGGATACTTCATAGCTAAAATCAACATGGCCAGGTGTATCAATGAGATTTAAAAGGTACTGCTTTCCTTCACAATTATAAAAGAGAGACGCTGTCTGTGCTTTAACAGTGATTCCTCTTTCTCGTTCCACTTGCAGTTTATCAAGAACTTGCTTATTATTCTTTGTTTTATCAATTGTCCGTTAGTTCTAGAAGCCTGTCAGCTAACGTACTTTTGCCATGATCCACATGTGCAATGATACTGAAATTTCTAATATTTTCAATAGGAAATCTAGACATGTCGATTTTTTCATGGCCCTGTGTGGCGGGGAGATCAGGAAGGGGTCCCAGGACGAGACAGAGCCATCACCCATGGCTTTTCTTTTTCAGTGACATCCCCGTTAAGGCTGGGTGGCCAACATCCAACCAGGCACTCCGCTGGGAGTTTTTAAATTACTTTTTCAAGCTCTTCTTTTGTTATGGGTTTATTTAGTTGTTCTACCTCTGTTTGTGTTAGTTTAGGTAGGTAGTGAGTTTGTAGAAATTTGTCCATTTCCTCCAGGTATTCAAATTTGTTAGAGTACAATTTTTCATAGTATTCTGTTATGATTCCTTTAATTTCAGTTGAGTCTGTTGTGATATCACCGATCTCATTTCTTTTATGGGTTATTGGCTTCCTGTCCTCTTTTTCTTTTGTCAGTGTGGCCAGTGGTTTATCAGTTTTGTTGATCTTTTTGAAGAACCAGCTTTTGGTCTTGTTAACCCTTTCCATTGTTTTTC